CTGCTATTGAGAACTACCTTGGTTCCAGTTCATCTATGCAGGCTAAGCGGCTCAAGGCCGATGTCGTCAAGAACGGCACCCAGTCCCTTGTTCTTAGCATGGATGACTTTGAAGAGGTTACTGACGAGTTCCAAGGAGTCAAGCTACGGTGGGCTTCTGGGAAACATCTTTCCAAGACACAATCATTTTCTTTCTATCCAGTAACGGATGAGAGAATGTACTACACGCTCACTTTCCATAAAAGACACCGGAATCTCATACTCGGGACTTACTTGAGTCATGTCTTGAAAGAGGGTGACGCAATCAAGATGAAAAACCGGCAAAGGAAGCTCTACACCAACAGTGGATCATACTGGAGGCATGTAGTGTTCGAGCATCCGGCTAGTTTTGATACGATTGCAATGGAGGCTGAAAAGAAGAAGGAAATCATGGATGATCTCATCACATTCAGCCAGGCAGAAGAGTTCTATGCAAGAATTGGAAGGGCTTGGAAGCGGGGTTATCTTCTTTATGGCCCCCCCGGTACTGGTAAATCCACCATGATCGCAGCCATGGCTAATCTTTTGAACTACGATATCTATGACCTCGAATTGACTTCCGTGAAAGATAACACTGAGCTGAGAAAGCTACTGATCGAGACAACGAGCAGATCCGTTATTGTGATCGAGGATATTGACTGTTCTCTTGATCTAACCGGTCAAAGGAAGAAGAAAAAGGAAGAACAGGGAAGGGGAGATGAGAAGGATCCAAAGCTGAAAGTGCCAAAGGAAGAAACAGACAGCAAACAGAGTCAGGTCACTCTTTCTGGGCTTTTGAATTTTATTGATGGACTGTGGTCAGCTTGTAAAGGAGAAAGACTGGTTGTTTTCACAACTAATTTCTTGGAGAAACTCGATCCAGCTCTCATCAGGAAAGGAAGGATGGACAAGCACATAGAACTGTCGTACTGTAGCTTTGAAGCATTCAAGGTCTTGGCTAAGAATTACCTTCAGCTTGAAACACACGACCTGTACGCCAAGATCCAAGAGCTGGTGGGAGAAACCAAAATGACTCCCGCTGAAGTTGCGGAGCATTTAATGCCAAAGACTCTTCCCGGAGACAACAAGGTTTGCTTGGAGGGACTAATAGCAGGGCTTGAGAAGGCAAAAGAGGACGCCAGATTGAAAGCTGAAGAAGAAGCAAGAGAAAGGGGCTCGTCACCCGAAGGAAAAGCAACAGAAAAGGATTCATCACCTGAAGAAAAAGCAAAAGAAAAGGGCTCATCACCTGAAGAAAAAGTAAAAGAAAAGGGCTCATCACCTGAAGAAAATGCAAAAGAGCAAGGAAAAGAGAATGGTTGGTGTGATAATGGAAATACAGAAATGAATTGTAAGGAAAAAGAGTAGGGCTTCAGCCACTAAAGACCAACACTGCAGCATTTCAGAGTGAAGAAGTTCGGTCTCTTGAGACAGAATTATCACACTTCTATTAGTTCAATGATAGCAATGCCATGTAATCTAATTCTTATAATTATGTAAGACTATAAAATTAGGGACATTTTTCTTCCTGGCTAATAACTAGGAGGAGAAACCTTGAATCATGCTTGGTTAGCATGCTTGAAACAAAGAGCAATGCAAATTGTTCTTGGCATTGAAATAATCAGACAAGAGTATTATGACGTGTTTAAAACAACTGACCCGCATAAGAACAGATTACAAAGCAATAACCATGCATGCTATCGAGCGAAATCCAGAGAGACTTACCTTAGTTAAGGGAAGGCACGAGAAACATGTCATTTAGCAAAAAATGTCGTTCTGCAGACCAAACATCTCACCTGCAGAAACTCAAATGCCAACTCCACCCAGATCAATCCCAGCCAAAAAACAACTAGAAAAGCGACAGACATCGAACAAACACCTATCTCAACTCCTCACCAGAGTAGTTATTATCCATTGTAGCATCCAAGCTGTACTTGTAATAATGCATATGGCCAAGCAGTGAAAGACCAGGAAAGTTTTGTAGATATTCACAGGAAGAGTTTAGCTTGTGCCGCATTCATGGGAATCACAACCAAATAGATGCCGTATGGCAAGTTCCACCCCAAGTGCTGGACTGCGTCCATTCTGATTTCTTGGCTTAACATCAATGAAAAATGCTAGTCTTCTATCCCAGTAATGATGATGATCCCAATAAACATTCTAGCATAATTAAAAATGATTACAGATGCACTAGCTGAAATCTCACCTGCCTTCAATATTTTATCTCAAGGCTAGTTTTTGGTTTTTCCTTGTTCTTTTGACTTTCCACTGAAGATCTTCTACTTCTGCCAGTTCAGAAAATACAGGTTCTGCATTATAGGACTTCTTTTTATGGCTTCCGTATCTTTTTCCGGATCAGAATCACTTACTAGGGCATCTCAAAATCTAGGTTGCCAGATATCTCTCTAATGGCTGATCCCAATTCATTAGTTTTCCAATTGAAGCACCTCTAGTGAAGCATCTCCCCGATAAATAAACATTTTTATAGAATATGTCGAGTAAGATACTAATATGCAGAAAAAAAATAATAAATAAATAAACAAGTCAGTATACTAATATGCAGTATTTATGAGGGGATTAACAGTATTAGATATGTTTTAGATTTCTTTTTAATAATTAAACTCGATTAGAAAAAACAGGTGACAATTTGTGCCGATTTGCAATGTCCTATCCTATGATGCAAGTATATAAATAATATATTTATGATAAATTAATGCGATGTATGATTAATCCATTAACTAGAAAGTTGATTCAATAATTAAGTTCCAGCTTCTTAATCAGATATAACCGGTGACGGAGGCAAGATTTTTAAATAAAAAAATAAATTACTATTAAATGTCTGACATTATATAGATATGTATTATATAAAAAAAATTAATTTAAAATATATGCACTAATTCATATCAAACAAAATCAATTTAAAAATATTTTTAAAATAAAAAATTATATTATAATTATTCTCTTTAAATTTTCATATTTTAAAATTGCTTTATAATATTTTTATCATTAATTACATCGAAGATATTTTTTTCAATGTATACAACCAAAACTATTATTTATCTGTTTATCTCCCATCCTATTATGTAATTTACTCTTGATAATATGTAAAGAATAAAAAACTCTCTTAAAAATAAAAAACTCTCTTCATTTTAACAGTTGCAACTAATAAAAGTAATGATAATTTGATAAGAATATGTACTAATTTGAAAAGCTCTTTTTAAACTATTATTTTTTGTTTTTATTATTTTCTTCACAAGACCAGCAATACTTTCAATATTGGAGAATCAATATGAATTAATCATTATTATGTATATAAAAAATATACATATCAAGTTGGTTATAAAATACTATAACATCCACTATAGAGAATTTATATGGATAAAAATAAATAAAGTGAATAAATTTTTTTTTGTTGAAAATAGAAAAAAAATCATATGAGTTTAAATATATTATACAAAGAAGTAACTTCGTACTTGTTTGGTAAAACAATCATCCTAACTTATTAAGCTATATATCAATGATATTATTAAACAATTAATACAATTATATAATAATCTATTATTAAATGAAAATTAGTTGAGTTACCTAATAATCATTAAGATATTATATAGATTTGTCCTCAAGGGACGTAACGTGATGACAAAGAGCTTGAAATCTGCATAGCAGGTATCGAGTTCAAGTTAGGATGTGATCTCTTGTATAAGCCTGAGATAATCATGGTTTTACTTGCTCACATGATCCCATAAAAATATACTTTTTGAAGATGATGTTTCCTTAAATCCAAAAAAAAATATTATATAAATTTGATTTGACTATCAGACAATCCCAATTATATTTAATTCTAAAATAACAAACAGTGTGTGTACATATATATATATATTACTATATCAACCTTATGTATTTACCTAAGTATAATTTATTTTATTTATTGATAATAAATTTTATTTATTGATAATAAGGTAAATCTTAAATCAAATTATATGTCAAACATGTTCTAAGCATGAAGTTGTTTTCATCTATTCTTGTAAAATATATTGCATGAAAGGTTTGTTCATATAGAAAAATTATGATAATTAATATTCTAATGTAATATTTTTACACCAGATTTCATATGTGGTTGTATTTTTTTCTTATATAAAATTAGTAGGGGTATAAATTAAAACATGTAACTAATATTTTTAAATCATTAATTATGTTTTTGAGGTTATATTTTCAAATTAGTAGCTTTTTTTTATAAATAATTGGTAGCAATAATATACAAAAAGTAGAGATTAATTAAAAAAAAAGATCAAAGTTATTTGAGTTCTATTTATAATTATATACTTGAAAATTATTTTTTCAGTCCCTAATTAATAAATAATAAAATAACTAATGATTAAGTAATCTTACAATTGCCAATAAAACATATTAAAGTATCATGTGTCTGCGTCTAAAAAGAAGATAGAAACTGTTGATATATAAATAAAAGTTGTGGTCCTTTTCTAGTCACGTTAATTTCTATTTATTTATTTTTTTTGTTTTTGGAAGATATAGTCTGTTATATTAATATTTTATTATAAAAAAATTCTGGAAAAAAAATAATTAAAGGGGCAATTTCCTCCTCTGGCTCCGCCCATGGATGGATACAACAGCCATATTTATGTCTCGAGCTTAAGTTCAAGAGAAACATAAATCTCTTCAGGAATTATCTCGAGATAAAGATTATTTTTAACTTTTATATGTGTCTTTTTGAAGAATTATGTACTTATTTTTTCTATCTTAAAAAGAATAATCAAACGGAATCCAGATGATCATTGGATCATCATTGTTTATGACTTGCAATAACATATTACTTTTGCTTTTGGGAATAAAATTAACCATAAAATTCACTTCTTATAAGATTTACTTTTCTTATTAATAAATATATTAATTTCCGATAACCAATATCAATCGCATGATCTTATTAATAAATATAGTTAATTTAATTTTTTTATTTTATGATTAAGGGCAGAGGCTAAACTGAAGGATAAGGAAGACATGGTGTAATAAAATAAAACCTCGAAAAACCCAAACTGAGAAACCGGAAACAGAAACCAAATCAAAGAAATCGAAGAGGAGGAGGAGGAGGAGGATGTTATTTCAAGTAGGAGGACAAGGGACACGTCCCACCTTCTTCGAGATGGCTGCTGCCCAACAACTCCCCGCCAGTCTCCGTGCTGCCCTTACCTACTCCATTGGTGTAAGCTACTTACACCTCTCATTTTCTATATGATAATTGTTTGCCCATATCATTTTTCAAGGTTTTAAGGGATGGGAAACTCTTATTTTTGTGAGTTTTTTTATTTGGGTTTTTCTTAATGGTCTCGAATTTGGCAGATGAATCAAGCCTGATTTTACTTTTTTGAAGTGTTAATAGGGTTTTTTTATCTTCTTTTTTTTTTTGTGCATTGTAAGATATAATTACTTAGCTTACTTTGATTGAAGAGATTGGCTTGTGCTTATAATATAATTTGAATATCTTCGTGATTTAATATTGTGGATTGTGGTCTCGAAGGTAATGGCATTAAGAAGACCGTTTCTGCATAAGGTGTTGGACTGTGAAGATGAATTCTTTTCGTTGCTTATGTTGGTCCTTGAGACTCATAGCTTGCGTACTACAGGTTTAATTCTTTTTTTTTTTTTTTATGAATAGGTTTAATTCCTTCTGCCTGTGACCTTACTGTTCTTTCATAATTCCATTTGCCTTTATATATATATATATATATATATATATATATATATATATATATATATATATATAAAACTCAAGTGCATTCTAGCTTTAACTTTGCCTTTTTTATTTCTTAATGTTGCTGCCACTGTTACCGAGTGGATGAGGGAGTGATCGAATATGTAGTCTCATATTTCTTATTTGGTTGGAGATTCTAGCCTTCTGGTCCATATGCTCATGTTTTGTCCACTTCAAAATTTTCTTTTTTATTCTATTCAATTGTTTGTCATACATTGAATGTTGAGCCTCTGCTCCTCATGGATTATGATTTCCCCGTGCATTGAGAACTAAACCCATTTCCTTTTCTTTTTGAAATGTTATGTGCCCTATGATATCAGGTAACTTGCTTAATTCCTTTGTTGGTCCCTCCCTGGATTAGTTGAAGTTAATAACCTCTCTTGGAGATATAGGAAGTAAAGATTAGAGAAACTCAATTTTTTTCAAGAATAGATGATGAGGCTGATCTCCATTTGGTTAAACGGGATCAGGGGTGTTTTCCAGTTCACATTGGATGGTGTGTGTGTGTGTGGAAGCTTTTAACAAGGCTTTGCTGGGTGCATGGTGGTGATGGTTTTATTTAATCTTGTTTTTTTCATTGCTGTGCTGTATCTCTAAATCTGAGTATAGTATTTCTTTAATTTGGATTACTACTGTTATATTTGTTGCATAAGGATCATTCTTTTGTATTTTATATTCCTCTTCAGATGCTTCTTTTGCTGAATCTCTATATGGATTGCGAAGAAGGGCAGTGAAGATAAGAGTAAAGAAGGAAGATGCACGTCCAAAATCAGGGGATGGAGTTCAGCTCTCAGGTTTAGAAAAGCACCAAAGAACTCTTTCAGTTGTATTTTTGGTACCATCCTCTGCTTCCTTTAGTTGATAAATTTTTCTTCCCTGAAGTAGTTTTCCTAGTAAGATTGTAAAGTGTAGGGAAAACCAAGTTTATAAACAGTGGTTCACAAACTGCTACCTAGTTTCACTCAATTAATGGCATCATACTAAGTTAAAATGCTTTCAACCCATTGTGATGAAGGTTAATGACTTGTGAATTTATGTGTCTGATTAGGTTGTGTTGCCTTATTTTAAGTCAAAATTGCATTCAATATATAACAAAGAAAGGGAAGCCAGGCTTCAAGCAAGTTTGTGGGGAAATGGCGATGAAACAGTTGAAGAAGCTGAATATTTTAGTGGAGGGGATGCTTCTCTTGTTTCTGGAGAAACATTGGATGCAGAAGCAACTATTAGAGCACGTTTGACAAAGAAAATTCAGAAAATTGTATTTAGTTGCTACCCATGGCTGCATGCTAGTAGTGAAGGTAATGTTTTCGTTCTTTCTTGATTTGGATAACACTGATTAATTTAGTCTTTTAAGTCAGATGTAAGAGCATGCAATTTAGGAAAGTGGGGATGAGTTAATTTGACATGATGATGAAAAGGTTACATGTCTGTTTCATTCTTCTTGGAACATAAGCATCAATCATGAATTTGTTGTATTCAAGTTTCACCTATTGCATTAACATTAGCTTATTTCCTCATGTTTCATAATTTCATTATGTGTTGATACTAAATAAATTTAGAAGCATGAATGCCATTGTAGCTCTTTCATGTTGTGAGGAAATTCTGATGTTAAGCAATCCAATTGCGGTGTCTTCTGACAAATTTGTGCCATGTTTCCAGTATTGGGTACTGAAGTCACTCTTTATTTTACTGGTCAATTGGAAGGTTCTTTCCCTTAGCTACTTACTGGACCCTTAGTAAAGCTCTGGACCAACAATGCAGTCTTTTCAAATCTAATCTATAGTATGACAGTGCAGGATCCTGTTCATTAATCTAAATTCTGAAATTTCTATAGTCTGCTGCTATGTGCCAAACTGGTTTCTGTCTTCATGCTTGGTTGGAAGTGGTTTATGTTTATCAAGATGTCCAATCTGACCTAAAGCGTTGCAATGCAGGCATGTCATTTGCATATCAGCTCTTATATTTGCTGGATGCTACTGGGTTCTATTCGTTTGGACTACATGCACTTGGGATTCATGTTTGTCGAGCTACTGGGCAAGAGCTGGTACTAGATTTGGCCAGAATAGAGAATTTGGATTTTATTTTCGTTAACAAGTATTTCATTAGACACAAATTCAACCATTCAAATATAGTGCATGCTGCTATTTTGTTGTCCTATAAATACCTTGACAAATTATACATATCTTAGTGCTTTGTTCAATTGTTTTGATGTCAAGGCAGATGGACACTTCTTCTAGAATTTCTAAGATCAGAAGCAATGAACGTGATAGACTTCGTGGCCCCCCATGGCTGAAGGTATAATAATTTAAATTATTTAGTTGCTTTGGGGACTTGATGTGGAACTTTTTGCTATTCAGTATTTGTTTGCAGAAATTGACAGCACTGTTGTATAGCTGGTATTCCATTGTAGAATATTGACTCAACATCGTTAATGTGCAGACATTACAAGGTGCATTGCTGAGCTGTGCATATACAATGCTTGACTATGCACAAACTGGCTTAATTGCAGCAGTGTTCATCTTTAAAGTGAGTGTGGTTTTCCTGATTCAGGAGTTGTCCACTCTCAATTAGTATTGTCTGCAAAAACTATAAATGCCTGTGGATGTTTAATTTTATGTTATTCTTGTTGTTGTTTCTAACTGCAAGCAATGCCCCATTCTCTCCCCTCCATTCCCTGATCAACATTTACCACTTTCAAGGATCCTTTACAGTTGCAGATTTTTGTGATCATTTGCTCAACACTGCTATCTGTTTCAAAAAGTTTTACCTTTATAGCCAAATTTTATCTGGATTCTTGTTACAAAACAATGCTGAAATGTTTTTGACGTCAGAGTTCTGCCTTATTTAACATATTTCTTCTGAACAATATGAAATTTGACACTCCCTAAAGATCCATTGCTCTTGTCTCCAAGTTTTGTTCTTGTTTTCAGCATCCTAAGCTCTTAGAACTAAGCTTACATCATATTATACCATGTTCATTTTAATGTCAAGATAGTTAGCTTCATGCAATAGAACTGATTTATTCACCCTGTTTATATTGTGTCATGCATTAATTTTCATTTTTGTGTTTACATCCTTCCTCTTTCTCCATGATAAGTATAGACTAGCTTTAACATTTTCTGAATGTGAATGACACAGATGATGGAGTGGTGGTACCAATCTGCTGAGGAGAGAATGTCAGCTCCAACAGTGTACCCTCCACCCCCACCACCTCCAGCCCCAAAGGTGAAGAGCTTTATAATCTTGGATTTCATAATTATTCTCTTGCCAACACACAAACGCACACGCTCATGTTAGAGATATGATGTTTTACTGATAAAGAATAGAAGGTTGTCTTGCTACTGAGATGAAGTTAATCTTTACTTTTCATGTAACTGTCTTCAGTGTTAAATTTGGACAAATTGTCATATAAATTTCAGCTTTTCATGATCTTGGCAATAGATTCTGTCAGATGTCAGAAACCAAAAGGTTCAAAGCTACATAATGTTCTCTTGATAATTGAACAGGTTGCCAAAGAGGGGATTCCACTGCCACCTGATAGAACAATCTGCCCATTGTGCTCACAGATGCGTGCAAATCCTTCTGTTGTTACGATATCAGGATTTGTTTTCTGTTATGCTTGCATATTCAAATACGTATCTCAGGTAAGGCATCTAATTTCACTACATCAATATCCACTCCAAGCTTATGTTTTCTTGATTCTCCCCCCCCCCCC